CCGCGCTGCACGTCAATCCTCCGAAAGGTAAGCGATCGCTTAATCGAAACTTAAAGCCGGAAACACAATGAAATGCACGGGAAAGGCAATAAGAGATTCTCAACTTATCAGAAAGCGTCCATTCCATTATACATGATTTCTGATCTTGTAAGTTGAAATTTGGTTCTTCCTGTTTCTATTGTCTGACTATTCATTGTGTTTCCAGTTTAAAGCTGAAAACACAATAGAAACAGGGAACAGACAATAACGAGCCGTCCAATCAGAGCTCTGGCGTATAAGTTCGATATACACACATGACAGTGTGTACATAAATATGTATATTAGTGAAAATAGCAGATACGTATTATTTTGTAAATAATTCAAAGTTGTTTCTCGCATGATTTTCCTGAGTTCCTAGAAGTGAGTCTATATTTGTGTATTTCTTATGTATGGTATACCGACAATGACGTATACCGCAATATTAAGTTACGTGATATGGAAAAGACAAAGTTATTATCGTAACTGGACGCACTATGGTAATTTTAATCGACTATTGCAAAACATATCAAACTTTACATAGAAATAACATCTATGGCGTTTATTTTCCTGTACCAAGCAACAAAACATTAAGGAAAATATACATCAGAAAATTGACTGGAAAATATTAGTGACATGAGTGATGTAATTGTATCTACTATATATATACTATAGAATATATATTTATAGAATAGAATACCAGAAACAAAAGCAGAAAAATGCTATCCAGTCATACAACTGAATGAGTAGCGTGAAATGAGGATGACTCGCCTCTCAATTAGTATATATTCAAACAACGAGCAACCATCTTTTGTCTACATGCAAAATTCTTCGTCAATAGCTGAATTATCACTATAGATGCCGCCGAGGATGATTCAACCAGAATCGGAACGTATGGTGTAATGTAATTGTATAGAATTGATACCACGTTTAATAAATTTTACCACGTTAGAATAAATTTTATTGCGCTTTAATTATCGCGCTGACTCCTTTCAGCTCTTTGTTTTCACAGTCTGTTTTATTACTAGTTTATGATTAACTGGATTTATAAGTGAGTGAAAGAGAGAAAACTAATCATCAATCGCTTGGCGAGTACGTTAACTATTTTGTCGGTTTGAACATGCTTGTTGTTGCAACCCTAGATACAAGATCCGTTTGTTTGTATCTGCTATGTATAAGATTAACTAAGTAGAAATCAATATTTCGAAAATCAATAAATGACAAAGGAAGATCAATTCCGATCAACGAGTCTTTTAAAAAAAATAATAGAAAAATAATAGAATTTCATCTGAGTTCTGTGCGATCATATGACATTCAATGGTGCAATGACTTGATTTCTTTCATATTGATATTCTAATAAAAACTTAATGTTTTCTAATTGATTGGTATCAACTCTTTTGAGTGAATGACACAGCAATTTGAATGTGAGCAGCAAATAGTTTTCTTATTTTAAAATACAACTCAAAAAATTAAGTTTCTCAGTAAAGAGGAAAAATCATTTCTCAACTTAATAAAAAATTATTGACTAATCGAACAATCAGTAAAAAGAATAGATTCTCAGGGCTGCCGCACATAAAATTCCGCAACAGTAACCATAAGACGTAAATTTAAGCCGATGAGGATATTACTTTAGGTCTACGTAATCCGTGTACTATAACGGAAATGAAAATAACAGTAAACTTATCCATAACCTCGCAATTAGATGAATTTCAACCGGTTGAATTCTCCTTATGGATAGGTTTACTGCTATTTCTATTTCCGTTATAGTACATAGATCTAAAGCAGTCCTGATTGACTCATCGGCTTAAGTTTACATCTTAAGGTTACTGAAATTTGATCTGCGACAGCCTGGCACACACCTTTCGTGACAGTAACCATAAGACGTATCGTAAGAATCAGTCAATCACAGTCGAGAATTCTTTTGCACTCTTAATTCTAATTGGCTGATTCTTATGGTACGTCTTATGGTTACTGTTACAGAAGATGCCATGGCCTTTAAAAATATGATCAAATGTTATTTTTATCATTTTCGTATTCCGTTTCACAACTCTGAAAAACGCTCTTTCGAATTGTGATGATTTTATATTTACACATTTTATTATAAATCCGGAATAATTTATCAAAAGTGATATAACTTAAAATACAGGGTTGGAAATAACATATTACTTGTAACGCCGTTATCATTTTTGTTACTTTTTTTTTCGATAACAATCGTCATATTTTTCTGTCTGTAATGGTAACGGTAACGTTATATCTTTATAGTAACAGTAATGAAATCAATTGTTATCTTATCGTTATTTAAATCCCTTATTATCTTTACAATTATTCAATAAATCACATTATTTTTATGTAATTGGTTAGATTATAATGGAAGTTTAAATATCGAAAAATATTTTACTTCATATCTTCATATCTTAGGCTGTATTTTGATATTCATTGCCAATACTGAAAATCTGTAGTATAGGTACATATAAGTAATGTGAATTATAAATTTTCAGTGATAATGAATATTGAAATGCATTCTTGATAACAATATTAATATTTAAAAACAATATTTAATAAAAATTTTTAATAAAACTTGCATTTATAAATTACAATTTAATCTTCTAAAAAGATAAGCATATATTAAAAAATAAAAAGATTAATGTAAAGAATTATTAAAGATTTATTAGAGAGTTTAATATAAAGAAAAAAAAGCTCGCTGTAAGATTGGCTTAGAATTTTAACGTCGATATTTTTATAATTAGTATTGATTATTAAATAATATAATTTTTTAATTTAATATTTTACATTACAAAAAAGTAACGATGAAGTTACGCATCATTACTTTCTAAGTAACGGTTATGATAACGCATTACTCTTCTATAAAGTAAGGTTCCCAATCTTATCGAAATATCACCAACAGTTTCTATCTAGATCAGCCAAATAAAACTATTTCTTCTTCAAACTTCGATCACTAAAACTGTCCTAACTTTAAATGATTCCTTTAGAAGACTCTACTTTTTATTTACAAAAACAACACAACTTAAATATATCACTCTTGTAGAAGATATTATGATCTCTCTTGAAAACCTTGAGAACGACGAGTATTTGGCGGACGGATTATGAAGTTAAATTAGTTTACTTTTGATGATTAATAGAGTAATTTTTGCTTAACTCATTCATGATAATAACTAGAAAATCATTTTTTTTTTAATCGTGTCACTTTTGAAGAAAACGTATGTATGTACATTCTTGATTTTTATCCCCCACACTCGGACACACACACACACACACACACACACACACACACACATACGTTAAGCAATAAGCAAAAACAGAAAAAATATTAAAATGCATCTGACAGTTAGTTATCATCAAAGAGTAGCTATTTAAAAACTCTTACTCTTTGCTGAATAATATATTTTTTTAACGACCTGCACGCGATCATATACCGTTGCACGTATCATAGGTCTAATATCGTCTCAATATCTCATGAAATATCGTCACCGTCGATGACATTTTTATCAACCGCGACCATTCCATTCGTCGACTACGAGCCCTTAAATGCATACGATATCTATGAGGACGTCATTCTTTATACACGAAGAGTCGTAAAAAAAAAGGGGGGGGGGAGAGGAACAACCGATGTCCCGTGCGTTACCGCCTCGTCGGACGAATTAAAGACATAAAGATAGTAAAACGTGCCGCGCGCGCGTTAATAATAAAAAGCCATTGCGCGTTGATCGAAGCCCGATAGGCGCGTCACCGCAGCAAAATATACGAGCATGTAAAAGTGAAATTCCCTGCCAGCCGACGCGGCGTGGAGCCGACGTGTATCGCGCGCTGTCTGTTTTCTCGTTACAACGCCGCGCCATGCCAGGGCCATTGTGGCACCGACGGGCATGTGTTATCCCGTCTGTTCATCTTGCACCTCGACGCGGGCAACTATGCGCCTATATCGTGTCCATAAAATCGGAAAGAAGACTACACGGGGTGCAAGAAGGAAAAAAAATCTAGAACTCATCTTTTTTCGTTCCTACTGCGCTTTGTTTTCCTCCTTTTTCCTTTTTCGCAATTTCTCGAGTCTTATACTCTTATATATTTCGATGCGAGTTTACATATGTCTCTTGACTCGCAGGCATATACTTGCGTATGCGAAAAGTACTGATTTTAGAAGGTAGTAGAGGTAGAATAAAAGAGAGTTTTGTTGAAAACTTCTTTTTTAAAGTAATTTTAGCGTGAACTCTTAACAAACTGATTACAAAGTAAATTTGTCGGAGAGATTTGAATATATTGCATCTTTACTCTATATATTTTTTAGTATATACCTTGTAAAGATTAATTGTTTTTATTTAAAGAAGTACTCGAAGAGTGTTTTTATTGAAAGAGAAGTCAATTGAAAGTTCAGCTTTCATATCTTTAAATATAAGCTACACGTACCTACATAATTCTTATTTCCAATAATTTCACAAGTACATTGCAGAGATTATTCTCTACGATTATTATATCTTTTAAATTATTCTCTATGCGCGATTGCTTAACGCACTGAAAGTTTAACTATTTCCCTCCCTCGCTTCTTCCAGCTCTGCATATCTCTCATATTTTTAATCTATCTGACGGAAACGTCTTATGCGCGCCAACATATACGCGCGTTAAGAGCATACGCGAGTTTCTCGTTTCTTCTCATCCGTCGGGTTTTCCCTTTAATGCACCCTTCTAATCCGTCCTGACCTTTTTTCACCTTTTATCCACTTTCATACGGCGCTTATCCTCTACGGTATACTTTTTCGTAATTATTTTAACTTACAGTCCCGCGAACGTAACTGCTCTGGCCGGCTTCTCTCTCACTGCACTGGCGAGAATTTTTGTTTCGTTTCTGTAACGCGTTTCATCCGCGCGATACAACGCGAGTATATTGCCAGAGAGACGCAACGAGTTCCTGCTGTATTAATTTGACCTCTTCCATGACTGTTGCCGCCTATATTCTCGCTGTTTTATATATATATATATATATATATATATATATATATATATATCCAGTATATTGAAAGCAATTTCACAACGTTTTCCTATTTCGTATATTAAAAAGTGCCTTGAAAGTATAAACAGTATAACCTTTTTGCGAATAAATTTACAAGGGAAAAACAAATGGATATTTGGTTTTTTAAACTCGATACATAAAGCGACCGTATAAGTTACTCGATTCTTCCTTCATATGCGTACTCTGGAACGCCATCCGTCTTTGCCACTTTTTACACTCTATTCCCCATTTACCTTTGTGATAATCTAACGATTGATTGCACGATTTAATCTACCGGACAGTAGTTCGTATTAATTATACCGCATCAGCGTTGTATCTGTTCAACGTTATCGGTGGCATTGTTATTTTAAATTTTGAGATTACCTTACTTAATCTTTTATTATTTACATGCACTCTTGCTCTTGGTTAATCCCGAGCATTTTAAAGTCAGATTTCGTCAGCTTTTGTTACGTGAACATTATATCAAAGTAAAATTTTACAAAATTAACGTAGAAATCACTTATGATCATATTAATAGTTACTTATATATATTACATGTATAAACATATGGTTGGATTCTCATCATTTGTTACAAGCCATTAAACTTTTCGTTATTACCGTTATATTTCTTATTTCAAAAGTGGACAAACTTTGGCAAAAATTGTCACAACTCAAAAAAGGTGTTTTTTTTTTCGAATTATAAAAAAATAACGAAAAAAAATATATATATATATTATATTATACATTATGACATTTGATTAATCAATAATTTTCTGTCAAGTTCAAAAGTTTTTCCCCTGAAAAACTTATAGTTTTTTTAAGTTGCGTTAGTTTTGAAGTAAAGAAGCGATATCTTGTTTAAAAAATTCATCTCAATTTCCTAATAATTACACTTATCAAAGTTTAACTGAGAAAATTCACTTCTGTATCTCTCCACACATTTAAAAAATTAATAATCCCAAAGTTACTCATCTTAATGCTACGATCCAGCTCGTGAGAGACGATTTCGTCTCTGCTCTCTTAGAATGTTCCCATGTTTCCCATCTAATTTTCGTCCATTGTTTTTTTTATGTCCCCGCGAAAGGGAATGGACAAAGTGCGAGAACGAGAGCAAGAGCGAGTGAGGGAATAGAGAGACGAGTGACGGGCGTAAACTCGTACTACTCGTAGAGCGGACGGTCACGCGAGCTGACGCCGACACAACGCGCTACCGGCGCGGCGCGGCGCGTTTTAATTGCGCCGACAGAAATTGCGTGTTACCGTGTTAACAGGCTGCTCCGCTACGAGAAATAAATTTACATTTTGTTGGTTCAGAGGTCGCGCCGACGCGGACGCGAACGCGGACGCGTATTCGTCGGACGATGGATCCGTGCTCATTCTCACCCTCCTCTCCTTCCTGTTCAACAGCCTGCACCTCACAGCTGCATACATTCTCTCCTTTGCACCACTGAGGCCACGGAGTCACTCTACCGTCAGGTTGACGTCTACACGTTGATTTAACACGCGCATATATACATACGTACATACATATATCTTCAGTACCGTTTCCCTCGGCTAACTGCGATTTCCACTGATTGCACCACGATAATGTATCAATTGTAACTCAGTACATGTATAAGAAGGGTACCGATGAGATTTAAAATATAGTATATATTTGAATATTTCTGTTATTTTAATTAATTAACATTTTTAATTACAAAAAATTATTTTTCTAAATGCTATCTCTATAAAATGCTGTTACATATCCATTTATTTTGTTCATTAGCCAGGGAAAATTCCGAGTACGAAAATATTCTTTGATTTTTTTACGAATATTTCTTTCTATTCATATTACAATTTTTAATTATAAATTACCTTTAAATATCAATTTTAACAATCTTTATGTTATATTATTGCTTTGCATATAATTCAAGTAATAAAAACAGAAAGGAGAGTATATAAATATTAAAGTATATTATTCGTTGAAAAATGTACATTTATCTGATAAAATTATAAATTCAATTTCAAACACAACAGTGTTCGATATGTATTATATCGCAGTTGCTTAACTCCATTATGAAATAGTCTTATATTTTATGCTTTGGATTAGTCAGAATTAATATCACTCAAGTGGCAAAGTGTTCTGTGCAAACTGCACTTCTCAAATATCGCATAATAACGCTGGAAGTATAATAACTATGAAAATATTAACTTTTATGTCTGGGAGGTGATGTACAATATATAGGCGTAGTGTGCGTGCGCGCAACATGTAACTATGTTCCTGGGGCACTTCTTGCTGCTCATTTAACGAGTTGAATATTCAACTACAAGCGAGCACGTAAGCAGAGAAATGATGGGCGGGCGTATCTTGATCGTGATAATTCTCAAGTAATTGCCGCTAGGATAATAATTAACACCGAAAGCGTAAGACGTATTTCGCACCTGTGCATCGTGCCATCCGTTAATAATTAGCTTGCTGCCATCAGATTCCTATATATACACCACTGTTATTGTATTCCACTATTATCCTTTTTAGTCTTTCATTTTTTTTTACATTTCTCAAAAACCCATAAATTTGTCGGGTTTATCGTCTTATTATCTTTTTTGTGCGAAACGAACTCAAATAGTCGATTTAAGTCCTTTTATATTTGATATTTTGCCAATACTTTAAGAGATGTAAAATCAAATATTTTTTACATTGATTCTAGCTTATGGAAATTTGGGCAGCATTCTCAGCGAGCAGGGGCGAGTAACCGAAGCGGAAGAAGCATTCGTTCAAGCTCTTCGCTATCGACCGAACATGGCAGATGTGCACTATAACTTGTAAGTACCACACTCTAATTCAATCCATATTCTTCTTGTGCGTTTACATTTGTACAATGACATACGTGATACATATGAATATTATGTATCAGATATAGGCATCAAAATAATAAGCTAAGGAAACTTGATATAATAATTTAATAAATATTGTAACGAACAATAATTTTTCGAATCTGTCAAATGAAAAAATTGCAAAAGAATATTTGTATTTATATTGTTTCCGTATAAAATTTATTTTTAGAAAGAAATTATTTTTTCCAAGAAATTTTTAAACGAAAAAGTGTTTTAGGAAATCTTTTCTCGCGATATTGGGAGTTGAAAGCTATATTAGCTTCAACGTAGGTACGTCTCTGTAAGGATAGATTCGTTTCTTAAACCTCTTTTTATAAGCAGTATAGTCGTCTGAAAGTAGTCCGCTAAGTACGATTCAATGAAGCACGAATGCCGGTAAGAAGATTACCAACCGATATCTCCATATTTGACCGATTAATTCTTCTCCGATTTTTCCGATCCGCCGCGATGCGAAATATATTTGCTCGCGCTAAGCCGATCTGGAAAAAGAGGGTCCGGTGGGAAAGCTCTGTTTACCGCTGTAGTCATATCAGGGAACGGCCACGAGCTTCTTAAGCACATAATATCGGTCAGCGTGATCCCACGACCGTGCTATCTCCTTTCTCATGACGCATCAACGACTTCGTACAAGGCTTAGCAAGGATAGCCCTGAGAGAACGGCTGAAAGTCCTCGGGGTCCTTCGATCGGCGCTCATCATCTTTCGACGCTCCACCTACTGAAGGTGGGAAAGGACGTGGAAGCCTGTCAAGCCGTTGAGTCGATAAGCCTGCCTACCCTCTGCACGCTTCTGATAAGCCGGCTACGTGGCGCGTAGTATGTGCCACGTACTTGCCCCATTATGCATCCATGGACGTCTTATTGTTAGTATGGCACTCCTGCCGGCTAAATTGAACAATCGATAGGAAGCAGCGCATTAATCGATAATGCATTATAGCGATTAGAAATGAAGTGATTTTGATGTGAAACTAAGTAATAGAATAATCTTTTCGTATCATTAATATATCAAGATATTGTTTATAGGCGCGAGCAAATTAGAATTGAAACTTTTGAACTCGGGAAAACGGGGAGGGGGGAATAAAATGGTGTGTCTATTGAACTTGTTTTATATTATTAATTTTTTATTAATTATTAGCATACATACGTCACATAATATTACACATATTTAATTTACTAATTTACTTTATTTTTCCCTTAAAATTGTTAACTAAGTCTTTATACTAGAGAAATTTAATTTTACAACTAGAGATGCACAGGATATCTGATTTTTGGTGATACATTTGGCCGAAACTTTATATTGAAATGATGTGTATAATAGTACGAATATCTGAAAACTTTTATTGTCACTGATATATTTTTTAGAAATATATCGGATATATGACAAATCTGGTTTCTTTAGCTGATATTGTCCAGTTAAAACATTCTTGATCGCTGTCACGATATATTAGGATCAAGATAAGTTAATAAATTCATTCACGCAAAATATGCCCGGTAGAGATAATATTTTTCGCAATAAAATTATTTACAAATTTTAATATGTCATTCAGCATTATTAAGATCGTTCTATGAGCATCGAATTGTTAATTGTGCAATTTGAAAAATATTTCCGGAACATACATATGAGCGTGTGAAATCATATTTACTTCGTTAAGTAATTACTATACACGCTACTTCAACGAACTGAACCAGCGTGCACTGTGGCTGCAAGCGGTTACAAGCAAATTCCGGTGAAACCGCTCGTCCGTTCAGATAAGCCACACCCGACGTTTGTCCCTTCGTGGCAGTGACGGTAATACCTTCCAGGCCTTCACAGAATCAGCTTTTAGAGTGAAATGAAGCGCGATGTAATTACCTATCACTAATCCTGTGATAAAGGACGAAAAACTCTGCTAGCATCATCAGAATGTTAATGATAATACATCTCTCTATGATTCGAAATTAGATATGAAATTTAAAAAAACAACGTGAAAGAGGAATTGTAGGATATATTCTACACTCAGAGAAAGAGACACGGTGCAAATAACAAAAACTGTAAAAGTGACTATATCTCTGGCGAAAATTGTTACTAAAAAATTTTGTTTATATCACAGACTTCTACTCAATTAGACTGCTCAATATGATAGAAAGAGATGAACCTGATTCCGAGCTGACCTTGTTTTAGCTCACATATGCGTATGTATGCGTCCTGTGAGTATCGCGTGAACTTGTAAAAACACTAACGTTATTATCCGTGTGATTTATATACTCGTATTTGAGAGCGAGTGAACACAAATATGGCACTGCTTCAAACATGGAGGCGAAGTCGACAATCTATTTATAGAATATAGTTTATATCTGTTTATGAATAATTTTAACGGTGACTATACTATTTATGAAGAATTTTAATGATAATTATACTGTTTTATTGATGATTATACTGTTTTACTGAAAGTTTTATTGATGATTATACTGTTTGAAAACACAGGTATCTGATATTCATCTGTTGATTGAACATTTTACAAACGTTTAAAAAATTATAATAGAAATGTCTAATAGGATGATTATGTCATTGCCACTGATGATATAGCAGTTTTTATAATACTGTTTGGAATTTTGTAATAATTTTTTCGTGAGAATAAGCAAAAATCAGCATCTAAAACAAAATGAGTATCTGAACAAAAAAACGACATCTGAAGAAAATGTTCCTATTCTTTTTTTTAAACAGAAATCATCTATACAAATTACCTACAAGTTAATATACCTATATGAAATACCTTTATAGAATCCTTTTACTTTGACGTAAAACATTTTTTGTTGATATTTATAAACTTACTTTATGATGTTTGGCAAAACGTAAATATATAACGCAACATTATTTTGAAGCAGAGGAGATTTCGTAAACACAGTAGTGCCTTTAGCTCCGATAGAGCTATTTTATACAAATAACGCGACGATATATATAGATTAAGTTAGTTCATGGTCCGTTTTATAGATCGATGGTCGAATTTCGTTGAATCCTGATTTTATGTTTAAAACCACATCACTATGAGAAAAATAAAATAATTTTAGGAAATTACAAACATGTTAAATTATTTAATATTACCAATAATATACGTATTATTATCTTAACTAGGCAATTTGCGCAATTATAAAAATTTTATTTTCATATTCGTAGAATTTATTTTTAGTTGTTTTTATATAGAAACAAGCCACAAATATATAAATACGAATGGGGTTTTAACTTCTTTAATCATTTAAATAAATCATACTTTTTTCGCGATATTAATAAAGTGCAATTTAGTTTCCAAGAAATAAGGGGGTGTTTTTTTTTAGAAGATCTATGTCAATAATCGGCAATTTTCCCCTATACAAGTATTTATTGAGAGTTTATAAGAAATTCGCTTAAATATTGAGTAAATGTTTTATGTAAGCTTGAAAACATTTGTTGAATTGTTTATGAAATAGAAATTTGCATGTAGTATTATTTAGAAGATGTTTACGATCATGTTTGGTAGGCGTTTGAGGAGTGTTGTGCAATGTTTTCGGAATCTTGCAAATGTTTAGAGATTTTAATTAGTTTTAATTAAAAGAATCTCCTAAACATTTGCTTATTAAATAGTCGTGATTATTAAAACATTACTTGAATTTTTATAATATTCCGAAAAAATGTCACATTCATGACACTTTCCGATCGCCTAGTAAGTATAATCATAAATATCTACATAGTTCTATATTTAAGTGGTTTCAACGACTTACTCTTCGGCCTAAATTTACATAATTTTTGGGAGTGGATTATTAGAAAAGCTTTAAAGCTAAGCTTTTTTTTTAGTTTAATTAGTAACGTAGAAAATATCTTTTTACGTTATTAGATTTTAGAAGCAAAATCACGATCTCATAAATCGTATGCTTTTCATTATATGTTTCTTCCATTCTACGTGTACTCTTTCATGAAGCGAATCCTCTGCAAAATATGACGGGCCATTTAATCACCTTCCAGTTATTATCCCTTCCAATGATACACCGTTGCACAATTATCACCCGACGTACGTTATCGATACGAATCAATAGTCCGGGAAATTTCCGTTACGTCCTTCCATCATTATTTGTGAAAGAAAAAAAGCGGTTAATAAGAAAGCGACGTATATATCGTGTTCGTTCGCTTGCTCACCACGTTTTCGTCTCCGTTTTACTTTCTTTCGCGGAAATTTACGAGCAGATCAGATATATCGCAGGATATTACAACCTGGATGCTATGAAGAAAATATAAAGTCTACTTCGTGTTTCATGATTTTCTCAGATAAATCCCCATTTTACTTATTGTCATATATATATATATATAATGTGTGTGAAATAAGGATATACAGGGTATCTTAAAATTCGCGTTTTCGGAATACAGGACATGATACTTTATGCTAAAAAAACAACTTTTTTCTTTAGCAAATAAATTCTGTACTTCGAATTTTGGAACATGCTGTATACACACACACACACACACACACACACACACACACACACACACACACACACACACCGCATAATCTAATCTTTCGTTACTTTGAAAAAAAAAATAAACCGAGAGTTATTCTGATTTTGGTGACAAATCGATCCTTGCGATATATTCAATGATTTCGTTTGTTCGCAACGATTGACGATTTTGTGCCTACTGCTTCTCTTCTGCCGAGGTCAACCTTAAGGAGACTGATGGCAGGCCCGGGTAACGGCGACGGATGTTGATTTATTAAAACCCCGACGTGATCGTAAGTCATCCATCAGCGGCTGCTGGTGAATGGAAAATTGATTAGTCTTCGCCACGTGTTAGGAAAACCGTGAGGGGGCAAAAAGCTTTCCCCGAGCGGAATATCCAAAGAATACATCGTAATTATGTATTACTCTGTTACTCCTGTCGGCAGGTCGATACTTAATTAACCGCACCTTTCCTTTGCCCTCTCAT